TGGACGCATGCGCGTGGTAAATAGAGTCATGGCCTCCGAAACATCCTCCCTGGACTTAATCCGAGGTGCGGCAGTGAACCAGGACTGCCTTCCGTCCACATGCGTGCGTCCGGAAGCCCTATAACTGATTCGGAAAGTGGCTTCCCACTTGAAACAGCCTACTGATCTACCTAAACCGATATCGTCTCAGGAGGAGAGGGCGGAATGGAAGTTGCCGGCAGCGAGGAGATGTCCTTCCACGTCGTGCATAAGATTCCGGCAGGCGAGGGGCCGTACGTTCGAGCAAAGCATCTCCAGGTACCCAAGAAAACCTTTACTTCTTCTCCTCGGTATCCAAAACAGTAGTTAGATTGACGTATACATTTCTCTCTTCTTCTTTTACGCTTTCAGCAAAATCTTTTGATCCACACACACACATATATAGCGAGAGAGAGAGAGAGAGCTCTAGGTTTGTACGTACTGTAATCTTCATCCGTTGTTTGTCACCGATGCCTTTTCGAAAGACTGGTTTCTTCTTTTGCTAAGGATTTATGCATACATATATGTAGGTGAATAATGTTTTTGAATTTTGTGGGTAAGGTTATTTGTTAAAAATTGGGTTGGAAGCCAAAGTCTTTTCCTTTTTTTTTTCTTTGATTTTTTGGAGAAGTTATGCAGATTCGATTTCAAATAAGTGATTTATTATGTTAGTATTAGTTGAACATTTGTTTACCAAGATCTTGTCATGCCTCATACTCGGATCCTTCTAGTCCGGTTTGTGTTGTATGCATCATCTGGTAATTCTTTCCCTGAAGGATGTATCTATTTCAACGTTTTTTGCCATGCATGTAAATATAGAAGTTGGAGGTAGGAAGACAGAATGTGCATTTTTTGCTAGAGAACTCGCAGATTACTTCTGTTCAAGTTGCATGATTAGAGAAGCTTAAACTGGGCAAAGAAAAATGGGTACAGGAGGACCAAGAGACACACTATCTGCATCTTATATATCTTAAAGTCAATGACACAAATGGGCGCTTCCATATGATTACTAGTTGTTTGAGGATGACCAAAACCATGTAAGTAGAACCTGCACATATGCAGTAGAAGCTCCCTTCTTTCTAATGGGGTGGTAAACATGCATGAACTGGTTCAGCTGGTGGAGAAAGACTTGGAGGGCTCGATCCTGTGGCTTTGGAAGGCCATCAACGAGAGGGACAGGGTGGACAGCGCACTGAAGGACATGGCGGTGGTGATGAAGCAGCAGGACCGGACGGAGGAAGCTGTGGAAGCCATCAAGTCCTTCCGGCACCTCTGCTCTAACCACTCCCAGGATTCTCTTGACAACCTTCTCATCGATCTCTACAAGGTACCCATCACCAACTTTGCACACCAAGAGAGAGAGAGAGAGAGAGAGAGAGAGAGAGAGAACACTCCTTCCTTTCTTCTTGTGTGAGATAGATATCGATGGAGCTTTTGGTGGGCAGAAATGTGGGAGAGTGGAGGAGCAGATAGTGATGTTGAAGCAGAAGCTGCGGATGATATACATGGGGAAGGCCTTCAATGGGAAGACGACGAAGACGGCACGCTCCCATGGCAAAAAGTTCCAGGTTTCCATCAAACAAGAGACTGCTCGTCTCCTGGTACTCTCTCTCTCTCTCTCTCCTCTATTTCACTGCTACCTTATCCCTGCCTTCCAGTATATATTTGTCGTTTGCGATCGACGGCAGCAGCGGTGAGCCATTGTTAGAATGGGCTTCCGTCGATGGGACCTCGGCTTTGCCTCACGTGCATGATTTCGGTGTCTGTTTCCCGATCCACTTGACAGGGTAACTTAGGATGGGCATACATGCAGCAAGCCAACTACATGGCGGCGGAGGCGGTGTACCGCAAGGCGCAGATGATCGAACCCAATGCCAACAACGGCTGCAACCTCGGCGTCTGCCTCATCAATCAAGGCCGCTACGACGAGGCTCGCTCCATCGTCACCACCGTTCTCGACCTAGGCTTCTCCAGCGCCACCGCTGCTGCCGTCGATCGCAAGGCGCTACAACGGGCGAAGAAGTTGTTGGCCGAGATCGATCACTCGATCTCCGTCTCGGAGATGACGAGGAGGTTAGGGGAGGAAATGCTGCAGAGTTTGGACATCATGGAAGAAGGTTGGACACCCTCCAAGTCCAAGAGGTTGCCGGTCTTCGAGGAGATATCTCCCTTTTGGGACCAGATGGCCTTCTGATGTACACAGCAGCAGGATGTGAAGAAGACACGCCCGGTTAGTAGTAGTATAGAACATCCGTGCTTAATAGCGGTGTTGGGCTCTGATGTTGTAACGTAAGGAAGAAAGGGAGAAGGTCTGAATCTGTGTTCATGGTCGTTTTCTGTCACCTTGCACCAAAGGGGTGTGCAATGCAGAACTTGTGGAATCACAAGCAACCATGAATCTGTGTTCATGGTCGTAGACCCACTTAGAGCTCCGCTTCCAGCTGACGAGATCGAGAGGGGAGGCTGAGGCGGCTCACCAAAAGTTCCGCCTCTAAGGGCGGATGTCGGGTCGGAGTTCGTGTACGAACTCGGCCCAACTCATAAATATAGCACAGATCCATCATATTTAACCCGAACCGGATCCCACGGCTCGTGTCCGAACACGGTTCGAACCCCAAATACGTCATGGTTTAAACCGGACCGGTCAGTGGAACCGCACTGAGGCCTCGACCGTAATTGGGCAAATCGGTCAAAGCACACTTTTGATGCAATTTGTATATACCTCCAAAGTTACTTATTTCTGTGTTTTCCCATTACAATTTGTATATAAGTATTATTATACTTAATCTCAATCTAAAATTGACACTAATACTCCTTGAAAAAATATTGATACATATAAGGAATCAAAAAATTGATAAAAATGATTATGGATATTGGAGTACTAATTTTTTATTACTTCTTTCCAAATTGAATAATACTTATATTATTGAAATTTTTTGTATAAATTGACATTAATACTCTAAAAAATAATGATAAAAATGAGGCATCAAATAATTTAAATTTTTAGGTGAAACGTAGAGTTTTGAAGCTTATGTGGAGTTGTTTTGTTCAAACATAAGTAGATGGTGAAGATGTGAAAAAGACAAAATAGATCAATATCCTCAATTTAAACCTTTCAATTTCAAAGTGAATGATGAAGTCAATAAGTCAACTTCCCTCTCATCTATGGCATGTTGATGTAAATGCATTTATTCTTTGTTCTTACTGTAATAATACTTTTTCTTTTCATGAGAATTTCCTAAACACATACTCAATATTCTTGTATCATATGAATTATATTTTGGATTAGTATACGAGTCACGGTTTATTCTTCACTAATTAGACCATGAACTAGTTTTAACCTAATCACATTACATCTTTTCTGTAAGGAAGAAAGAGAAAACAATTCTTATTGTTTTCATTGTCATCATAATAAATTCACATTAAGCTTCATCTTCCCATGCACAAGAAAAATGTAATATACTACTAAGTTTGACAATACTATGCGATAAGAATTGTAATTATATGTTTTTATATTTTTTAAGATAAACTATAATTTTTAGTTTAAAAAATGATTAAATCTATGATTCGACGAATCGACTCATCGAGTCAACCAATGATCGGTGATTCGAGACACAAATCGATTTTGATGACTATCGTCTTAGATTTGGATTAGCATTAGAGTTATTTGGATATACTTCCTACACCACTCTTTAACCTTGGTTAAATGAGAGAATAGGTTCATCCCGCTTACCTAAAACAAGTAACCATTGAGCGTGTTTGGGAAACAGATATGCAAAATCCTCCTTTGAATCTGTTCCTACATCTCTTTTAGATACTGTGTGTCCATTTCTTCTCTCTCTCTCCCCCTCACATTCATAAAAGGAGAAGAAACACACACGTTCATGAGCCATATGAAGAAATGGATTGGCAAGTGGGAATCTCTCTTGTGGTGATCGTATTCTCTTGTTTGCTATGGCTTGGGAAAAAGAGGAGGCAAACGAGTTATGACTCGATAGGCAAAGATGCCAAGATTCCTAGTGGAACAAATGGGTTGCCTTTGCTTGGAGAGACACTCGAGTTTATGGGAAGCAATTACACCGCCACACATGTTGGTTTCTTGCGGAAGCGTCGATCACTGTGAGTTCATTTATTTTCTTTTGTACATTAATTAGTCTTTAAATCTTTCGATCGTAATTATTTTGGGGCAAAAAGGTTTATTCTCATTGTTTTTGGGTGTGAAATCATCATTTAGTCTTACTAAATATCATATGAAACTGTGATTTCATATTGTTTTATGTGTGAAATCCTAAGTTGGATGATATATTTTTCTTCTTTTACTTGCTCTTTGATTTCACCCTATCCCGTTGTTCTTCACATGAAATCTTAATTATTTATACAAATCCTACATTATAAATTTTACACTCAAAATTCCATCGCTTTTAGATGTCAAGATTTATGTTTAAAGATCAATTTTACTTACAAATCATAAAAAATTAATCCTACTTTAAACTTTTGGAGAATTCCTAAAAATTTCAAATTATGATGTGCTTTAGTCAAAATACTTCATCACCAATGTGGTTTAGTTGGTGGATTTGGTGTACTAATTAGATCAATTGTTCATGAAAGAGAGACAAAGAGAGAGAGAGAGGGGTAATAATATATATATATATATATATGCATGCATGCAATAGGTTCGTAATACCGTACCGTATCGGTGTTTCAATTTGGGCTCGGTACCGATACGGTACGATGTACCGAGCAGTATACCTAGGTGCACCGAGTACTGTAGCACTGATACAGTGCATTGCTACAGTGTACTGGTGCTTTGTATTGTTGCTGTAACACTGTACTGTTATAGTGTTATAGTGCACTGCTACAGTGTGGATCAGTATGATCTTCATACCGTTAACTTGTCAGATCGGTACGTACCACCCGTATCGGACAGTACGATTCGGTACGACAGACCTTACGCATGGATGTATACATAGCCCACCGTATGCATGAGAATTTATGGGTTGGTGGGTTGCAGGTATGGGAAGGTGTTCAGGTCCAATATCCTGGGAAGGCCAATAATAATGTCCACAGATCCTGAGGTGAACAAGATAGTGTTGCAGGATGATGGCAGAACCTTCGTTCCCTCCTACCCCAGGACTGTCGTCGAGGTGATGGGCGAAACTTCCATCCTGTCAATGACCGGGGACGAGCACAAGAAGTACCATGGCTTCGTGGCCAAGTTCCTCAAGGCAGTTCCTCTCATGGAGAGCGTTGCCAAGGAGATCGAGCAATCTATGGAGCTCGCTTCCCGCAGATGGAAGGACAAGCCGCAGATCTACTTCCAAGATGAGATCAACCAGGTGAACCTCTTCGTCATCTCCTCTCCTAGGTTAAAATTGGCAGATCCTGATCGAGGGTTTTGCATTCCTCATCATACGGATCTCTAAGATTTTACCTTGCTACTGTTTGATCGTTTGCCAGTCTCCCTGCTGCGTATCCCCGACTTCATTTGTGTATATCCAGTCAAATCCTTCACCGCATTTGCTTTTCTACTTGGAAATTGTTATCTGCATGCATTTCCATTTCCAGTCCCCCTTTCTGTTTGCTTTGGTAACTTCGATATTAGACTAGTAACAGTTTTAATTTTATAGCAATTGATCCCTTCGATAGGTCCTTCCTGAGTTACTGGCATAGTATTTCGTCAATGATGTCTATATCTGGTGCCCCTCTTCAGTGTTAAATATAGTCTTTTTGCAACATTTTTTTCACTGATCCTCTGTTTATTTTCTAGATTACGTTTGAAATATTGGTCAGAATGTTACTAGGAATTGAACCGGGGAGAGAAATGGATCTTATAAGGACAGAATTTTACGAACTTATCAAGGCCATTATATGTATCCCTGTCAAATTCCCTGGAACAACACTGTACAAGTCAGTGAAGGTATGCACCCCTCTCAGCACATTCTTATTATAAAATGTCTAGTATTCAAATGAAGCTATTATGACTTGTGACAAATTTATAGTCCAAGGAGAAAATGGTGGAGCTGATAAAAGAGATCATACGATATAAGGTGGAGAAAGGTGAACATCGAGCACTGTCAAGTTTCGTTGATGTTCTGATTGATGAATTCCATGATGCATCTGATCAAAAAACAATTGAGTTCATATGCGGAGCCATCATAGAGATGATGATACCTGGGCAGGACTCTGTGCCTATGACTACGACTCTTGCGATAAAGTATTTGACTGATAACCCTGCTGCGATAAAGCAACTACGGGTACAACAATCCCAACCTTGTTGAAATGTAGCTGTTTCTCTCTTCTGGTATCTAAATTTTCATAAAGCTTTGATCTTGAGAATTATTTTCATGCTGCTTATTTTAGGAGGAGAACATGGAACTAAAGAGGAAAAAAATCCAATCTGGTGAACCCTATACTTGGTCTGAGTACACATCATTGCCTTTTACTCTAAATGTGAGCACTTTTGTTTGGTAGAACCATACTCCCATAAGATGAAAAACTATATGATCTACTGAACTTGTTTTGTCTTCTAGGTGATCAATGAGACTCTTAGGATGGCAAACATTGTCAATGCTGTTTGGAGAAGGTGTCTCAAGGATGTTGAAATCAAAGGTAGACTTCTAACTGCTCCATTACTGGTTTTCATTCTACTTTGGTGAGTTGGAGTCTTGTATTGATACCTGGGTGGAATATTTTTTTGATCAAATCAATAATATATGGAATTATGCTCATAATTTTCAGGTTATCTAATTCCCAAAGGGTGGTGTATTATGACATCTTTCTCTTATGTTCACATGGATGAAGAAATTTATGAGGATCCATTTAAATTCAATCCATGGAGATGGGAGGTACATTTTCTTTTTTTCTCATTTATTATTGGTCTCTACCATAAGGTTGCTTGGTACATTTTCTTTTTTTCGTTTATTATTGGTCTATATTGTTTTTTTTTTCTCGTTTATTATTGGTCTATACAGTAAGGTTGCTTGGTACATTTTCTTTTTTTAATTTATTATTGGTCTATATTGTAAGGTTGCTCCTTTGTGATACAAAAATTAGGATTCGAGTCCGCATAGACTGGAACTTTTTTTTTTTTTAATGTGATTGTATAAGAAATTTATTTTGATGAACCAGGGTAAAGGACAACTCAACCAGAATAATTTTACTCCATTTGGTGGTGGACAGAGGCTTTGTCCTGGTTACCATCTGGCCAAAATGGAAATTGCAGTCATTCTCCATCACTTCATTACTAGTTTCAGGTACATTGTTTTGATACATCTCTCTCCTTTGGTTATCAACAACAGGACTACTAACTTGCCATGAAATCAATCTTTAACTTGCCATGAAATCAATCTTTGCAGTTGGGTGGAGGCTGAACCTGACACTGTCACCACTTTTCCAAGAGTCAGGATGAAGAAGAAATTCCCTGTCATAGTGTCACCAATTTCTGATTAGATCTCTACTTCATAGACTCTCCTCATCTTGTTCCCCTTGATAATTGTTCCTGGGTAATAATTGCAACATATTTATTGTCACTGTATGTGCAAAAGAACAATTTTAGTCACTAATTAATATTTTGTCTACAGAGTAAAAATAATTTTTTTTTATTTCAAGGTCTTTCTTTCACCCATTCATTGGCAAAAAAATCAACATCAGATTTTTGTCCACTTTCTTTGCACAAGACCAATTATTTATATAATAATAATATATTAATCAACTGGGATGTCTTAATTGAGGCTTCATGTAGATTTTAGAACTACTTTAAATAATATTTTGGATTTACAATCTTATAATATTATATAATATCACAAATTACTTTAAATAATTTAAATTTTTTTATTAACATCTTGTAAAAAATAAAATGCTAATTCTACTATAAGATAACATCAACATTTGAAAATTTATTATTCGATAAAATTTATCAAACATCAAATTCACTTTTGAACTCAATACACATCTTAAATGTGTTATCAAAGAAAATAAAAAAAAGGGAACCTCATCACAAAATAGTGTGTATGGTGCTTTATTAATTTAACAAATTTAATTAACACGTATATCTAAATATATATTTTTTATTATAATATATTTTAGTTACTCCATAATAAATCCAAAGTCAAAATATTTCCCAAGTTAGAATTTATCACAAGCCCTTTATATTACAAAGTAGCTCGATTATTCGAATAGTAAACTTATTATTAATAATCAAGAGATGAAACAAATTAAGAATGAACCAAAATATTCTTATTAATATGATATTCTCTCTCCAATAATTTTATGAGAAAAATACTATTTTTAGAGGACTATTGAATAGGTCAACTCATGCATCAACCCATCCTTAGACTCCTTAGTCGAACCAAGAGGTGGAAATCTTGATCCTGAGTCGATCTAACCCGACGATCGGTTGGATATACGGGTCGGGTCAGATCAAAACATCTTAATCAAGTAACGTGTCGACTTGGGTTTGGGCCAAGCACGCATTCCCCAAGTCCTTTTGGGGTAACGCTCGACCCATTAATAGAACTCGACCCAATGGCAGATTGACAGTTCCAATTTTAGAACCCCAAATTAGAGTTGGGTGCGGTTTGGGTCGAGTCGAGTCTTATCACTTACGGGCTCGGGCTCGGGTCGGGTTAGATTGCTTGACATTGAGTCAGGTTCGATTGGATTCGAGCTAATCCGCCAAATGGATGCTACGGGATTTGGCTCGAAATTAATGGATTGGGTCGAGTCGAGTCTTATCACTTATCGGCTCGGCCTGGGATCGTGTCAGGTTGCTTGATTCCTCGACCGAGACCAGGTCAGACTTTTCCAACTCGGGTTTGGGTCGGGTTCGGATCGGATTCGAACAAACCTTCCATCAGTCTAAACGGATGTTAACCCGAACCCGTTCCAAGTTCCGTTGGAGAGTCGCAACATAAGCAATACGAAGACCAACTCGTCCTGGTCCTCTCTCTCTCTCTCTCTCTCGCTCGCTCTCTGTGGTTGATCCTCTGCCCTTGGCCTCGCCGGACCCGACTCGCCTCCGCACCACCCATCGGCGACTCGACGCCGACCGCCTTCTTCCGCCTCCCCTTCCATCAGATAAGAACCGAACCTGCCATCGGGATCGCATCGGTCGGTGTAGATCAAGACCTTTGGACCGGAGGGGAGGGCAGGAAGCGCACCGTGTCCGGCGCTACCTCGCCGGCGATGTCAAGGATACCGACTGGAAACAGGAGGGATACCTCCCAACCCGGTAAGAATCCTCAAGAACATGTAAAATCATTGTTTATTTTATCTATTTCAAGGTAGATCTGATTGTAGCATCAGGTAATCCTTCCTTAAAGCTATACACCCGAGTTCAAGGATGATCGAGAAAATCTTTTCTCGATGCGAGATGCAATTTTTGTGATCATATTGTTGCAGATCCTTGTGTCTTTCGTATGTATAATCAAGTGTTGAGCTCGTTGATTCCCCTTTCATCAATCAGGTGGTTATTCAAACGAAACATCTCTTCGTGTTGTTGTGCTGGAAAATAGCGAAGTGTATATTATCATTAGCTTATCATCACGGCCCGATACCCAAGTAATTTATGTGGATCCAACTACTGGCGCATTGCGTTACGATGGGAAGATTGGGAAGGATGTTTTTGGATCCGAGGAACAGGCTATGAATTATGTCACGGATGGATCAAGGTTGCTGTGTAAGAGTAATATATATGGTAGGGCTATACTTGGTTATGCATCACTTGGGAGCTTCGGATTACTTTTAGTTGCAACCAAGGTAACCGCTAGCATCCCAAATCTCCCTGGTGGTGGGTGCGTATACACAGTCACAGAAAGTCAGTGGATCAGGATTCCACTTCAAAATACTCAACCCCAAGGAAAAGGTGAATTAAAAAACATTCAGGAATTAGCTGAGCTTGACATTGATGGAAAACATTATTTCTGTGAAACAAGGGATATTACCCGCTCCTTCCCAAGCCGCAGGAGTTTTCAGGAACCAGATGATGAATTTGTTTGGAATGGTTGGTTCTCAAAGCCTTTCAAAGATATTGGGTTGCCAAAACATTGTGTCATTCTTTTGCAGGTAAGTAACTTACGTCGTTTGATGTCTGTTTATTTTATCTCTTGCATTGTATCTCAACCTGCTGTCATTATTAAATTGGATGTAAAGGCCACACTGCACCCTATTACATGTGAATTATATTTCTTTGCTGTAATGTTACATTACTCTTGGACATAACTTGCTGATTTTATCTTATGTGATCATGAAATAGTTGGTCACTCCAAAAATTTGTTGTGAGTAAGATGCACAATTAATGAGAGTCATCATTATCCATCTTGAAACTTTGTTATGCCGATTTCTCCATGAAAAAAGGGACTATATAAGTTGGTTCAATCAATGTTTTAAATACCAGTCTGACCAAGGACTAGTTTCGGACCATATGGCCTGGTACTGGTTGATTAATATTTTTTAATGGTACTAGGTGGCACAAGGTCAGTGTACTGCCCACTACATAAGTATTATATGGGTTTCGTATACAATTAAAACTGATCTGGATCCAGATTTAGAACCTTGGCAAGATTGGCATTACATCTTTTGGATGATTTTGTGAAATTTGACCTACAAGTTTAGCCAATGGAACCATAATAATATAATAATAATTTGAGACCAGACTTCATTCCTTTTTGTTACTTAATTTTTTTATTTTTGATGTTCTTGGACTAGAACCTCAAATTACATGCTGTGACCTCTTCTATGAGATTAGCTCTTTGGAACTAAGTATACTACTATACACATCAAGATTTGAGGAACTTTTCTCCATATTGCAAACTAGTGTTGAATAATGTGAGTTGGTTATTCTTTTTACAGGAAGCTTTACTAAAGAACCACTTTGTAATTTTTCACAGAAGCTAAGCTTAAAATTGGATCAAGAGGCTACTTATGTATGATAAACTAGATGTCAGGGAGATTAAGCAAACAAAGATTGGCTTGAAAAATTGATGTATAAGACACATATATTTGGTATTTGATAAATATGGCCTAATACTAAATGCTAAAATTACCACCCAGTTTAAGAACATACTTATTTAGAAAATATTATTGAATAAATAAAATATAAATTTCAATCTCTTTGTCCTTGCTTTTGTAATCTTTCTGATCATTATTTTTTTCCAGGCATCTCACCTAAGAATTTAGAAATTCTAATGATTTCAAAAAATTAGTGGCTTCCATTGTTTTCATGTTTACTCCTTAAATTATGAGGTCCTCTCTCTCTATACATTAGTGTTAATTCTTTAATTGAATTAAATGTTATTCTGAAAGGGAGATAACAAACTTCACTATGTTTTATGGAATACGGATAAGCTAACAAATTCATTTATGTTTCAAAATTTAGAAAAGATCATATCCATTTCATATGGCAGATGCAATAGGATGAATCAAAAGAGTTCTGCGCATGAACTTGGTATACCACACAACTTAGATGGATCCATGAAAGTGACATAAGCAAGAGTAAAGAAATTGAATAAATGAAAAAAGATGTGTGTGAAAAGGAATGGAATTTTTTATTTGTACTGTGTCCAAGACTCTAAAGTGCATTGTTGTGCTATCCTTAAACTCCTCTCAACGTTTAAGTTTTTTAAAAAAACTTATTTAAAGAAAGAGCCATGCTCAAAATTTTCAAGCAAAGCATCATTCCTTTTGATCTCTCTACTCCTCTTTAATTCCCTCTTTTGCATTTGAGGTATGATTTTTTGTTCACATTTTCCATTTAGCATCCTAATTTTCAGTTAGCGTTAAGCTTTAGTGTATAAATTAATCCAACATTGGCCTAGGTCAAGCATAGATCTATATGGAGATTTAAGTGGATGTATTTTAGCTTTATTGATATCTAGGTCAGATTTAGGGTATAAGTAGGTGGTTCGGGTTTAATATGATAATTTGTCATGGCTACTATTACCAGCATATATTTCATAGTTTGAGTATGATCACATTGGTGTCTATTTATTGAATTAAAAAGGATCCTTTTTTTCGCAAGAGCATGGCATTCTGTGATAACTGGTGTTTACGTGGTCTCTATGCTAGATTTTTCCCTTCATCCTCTACTGGATGGAGAACCACATTTGTAAATATAGAAACCCCCACCTGACTAATAAACAAATTATTATCAATATTGCAGAGTTTGTCAACATGTATTGCAGTGTTTATCAGCATCTGTTGAGCTAGGAATAATATCATTGTTATATTTTGAACATGTATCATACTGAACACCAACCAAAGGCAGCTCCCAAGGTAATATGACACTTACTTTGGTGTTAGGACGATAGAACCAAGGTTCGTCATACCGTACCGTACCGGCGTTTCGACCCGGGCTCGGTACCGGTACAGTACGGTATACCGCTCGGTACACCCAGGTGCTACAGTGAACTGCTACAGTGCTCGGTACAGGCGGACCGGTACAGGGCGGTCCGCGTACCGCTAGCCTGTCGGACCGGTACGTACCACCCGTACCGGGCGGTACAGTCCGGTACGGCAAACCTTGGGTAGAACATGTATGTTGAGAATTCAAAGCCTATTGTAGTTATATTTTCATTGGACCGGTAATAAAGCCTT